GAGTCCTATTACATATACTAATTGCTCAAAGCACTCGTCATTAATTTAATGTACCTTTGCCAAGTCTTAAAGGCATTACTGCTTCTTTTAAACAAGTACCCTTCAATTACCACCTCTCTAGAAATTGAATAATAGTGAAATTAAGGATTTCCAATATTATAGTATCAGTGAAACTGACTACTTCGACAATACAGTGGCCATCTTAAATCGCAAGGCATTATGGGACACCCAGGGGACAAATATACCTTTCTTACATTAAAGAGACATAGATTGATATTAAGAGCTCACCACAAGAGAATATAATTATAGAAGATAAATTTAGACAGCACATCGAGCACCTTTACCCAGAAAAGAAAGACAAACACACAAATCTCTATTTTCCTTCAAATTTTTCTTTTTTGTCTACTGCCCCTGGCAAGATGGCCACTGCATTATCAAAGTACAGGCTGGTGTAGTCCATCGACATGCAGCAAAATATTCATGGATATTTATAATATTATTTATTTAGTAATACTTACCCAGGGTGGTCTGGTGTCTTTTCATATTTTTGTGATGCATCCTGGAAATTTAATCATCACTTTTAGCTTTTATTAAAGACTATTGTTTCTTTATTTAATATTTTTCCCCCTTTCTCTCAAGATTCTCTCTCTTTCTCTTTATCATACTTTCCATTTCTATTTCACATATTTTGCTCTTTTTTCTTTTTTTTTTCTTCAATTCTTGTACCAAATATTTCTTTATGATTTCTTTTTCTCTCCCATTTCCCTTCCCTTGCTCATGCTTTTTATTTATTTCTATTTTTCTTTTTTTTCTAAATATGTTTTATTATTTTTCTATTTTTTTGCATCATGTGTGCATTAAAATTGAGTATGTTAAATGCTCCTACATGAAGGTATTACATGTATGTGGGCAAATAAACTATTTTTTCTTCCTCTCTATTTATCATTTTTTTTTTTTTTTTATTTTTCCTATTTGCTTTCCTTTCTTTCACACTAAGAAACACACTAAGATAAACAGGGGAATAGCCAGGATTTTCCAGGGGATGGGGGCAAATGCAATGAAAACACTATTTTCTTTGACCCCTTTGACATGCTGAACTTCCCTCCCCTCCCCTAAAGAAAAAAGGAAAAAGGTACAAGACAAAAGAAAAAAAAACATAAAAAGACTGGCATTACATTTTACATTTTAATTATTAGAAAAAAAGTGAAATAARCATGGAAATTATTGTATCAATCTTAAGAAGCTGCCATTTTGTTGCCGAGAAAGGGGTAGGGCCTGGCCCCTTTGGTGCATAAAAGCCCCTAGTTAAGAATAAAAAAGGTAATATTAGTTACTGTAGTAACTCACCCTTTTTYGTACTAGAGTATGTCGTTCTTCCATTTCCTTCTTATCGACCATAAACTGAATAGATAATCCATCAAGCTAGGAATAATTTAAGAATGTTATTATAAATTTTGATTATACTCCTTGATCTTTGACGATAGCTTCATTCTCATTTAATTTAGTACTATCATCATCATCTTCATCACCATTATAAGTAGCACTATCATTACCATTGCGACCCCCATCACCACCGCCACCACCGCCGCCTCCGCCGCCACCGCCAAAACCACAATCACATACATGTAGCTTTCAAAAGGTTTTGCAGTAGGCGGCCCAAAGTCTCAAGTAGCTGACTGTGATCCGATACAATCAGAGCATATGTTGTATAGTACATGTAGCTATGTTATAATAGATAATTTATTAATGGCATACAGTATCTCTAGGTATTTTACAGTACCTCATCATTCAGTTCTTTCATGTATGATTCCAGATCATTCATGAGGTCATGTCCTTGGTGATAGTATGTGGAATGAGCCTGAACAAGCTTGGATAGCTGAAAAAAAGAAAGTTATATCATATTGTTTAATTAAGGAAGTTAATTCAACTACACATTGCAGCAACAAAAAGACACATGTCAGTGTCTATCATATCATTTTTGAGACCAAAATGCATTTGACAACTCCTCCATGCATCATTGGTGGATCTAGGATATTTTTAGGGGGGTGGCTGTTACCTTATGCATCATACAGTCAATTCAAAATGTTGTCATTGGCCGCCTCAAGCCTACGCGACTGAACCGAAAGGAATATTAGTAATAATCACTGAAGCAGTTAAATGTTTGTTCCCGGGGGGGGGGGGTGGAGACTCCAGGGAAAAAGTACCGGGGATGCTCGTTGTATCTCTTAGGGGTAAAAATTCACGATTTGGTATCTTTTAGGAAGTTAAATGCAAATTTTTGAAAATCAGCATTTTCTGGTATCTCTTAGAGTGTCGGAAAAGGAGAGAAGCCAATCGATATGGCTTATCCTAGGTGCTTTTTATACAAAATTTAATATTATTTGTTGTGGTATCTCTTAGGGGTTAAAAATCGTTCAGCCACACCCTTTTTAAAGACTTCCGGTATCTTTGAGGGGTCTTTTTGAAAATTTCCGACGAGCATCCCTGGTACTTTTTTCCCGGAGTCCCCCCCCCCCCGGGTATTTGTTCTGAATTGATTGTTCCTGCTAGTAATGAGATGATAATGGTGAGAAACAATCCATCAAATGCATGTCTTAAGAAAAACAAAGAAGATACGATTCAGTTCACAATTTCAAAAATATGAAGGCACTAAAAAAAGGTCTCCTTCAACATTTCCTGCTYGCCTACGAAGGTTCGTGCTATAAACCAGGCATAACTGGAATCAATTTGGCTTCAATGATTGCTACCCATAGTTCCTTTAGGTCCAGTCACGTAGGCTTGAGTTGGTCGATGACAACGTTTTTTGAATTGACTGTATACATGAAACATCTTTTTAAGGTTTTACCTAGTTTGTCCTTTATTGATCTTAATATTTTTTAAATTTCCGTAGTGTTTGTCAACTTACTGTRTCCAGCACCTCTATCCTTTTTCGTGATTGTAAGACATTAATCTGAAACAAAATTAGAATAATTTTAGGCAGCCTKAATTTGATCTTATTCTTATGCAATCTGCAGACTTGTGTTATGCATTTTTAGCTTTGTTTATACAAGTTAGCTATTTAATACAAATCTATATACCATTAAAAGTCTGTGGTRTCTAAAAACATTGGTATTGTTCAAGCTTCACATCCTTTACATTAAAGTTGACTTTTGTGAATCATTTGCTCTTAAACGAGGCTAAAAATGTACAGACACATTTGTAGTCAAGAATCACAGTCTGTGGTGTTTACTGAATGTGAAAAGGCTCTATTTTTCTATTACATGATAAAATCATTTACTCACCTGAAAAGCATAATCTAATGAAATGTGATCAAAGCAAGATTGCATTGCTGTCAATATGTTTTTATCCTTTAAAAAAATTAAAAAACAATTTATTAATAAACCTAATAATTATATGATAAATGTATAAATACGTTAGTTAATGAGTGAAGTACATGTACACCATCTAATAGTACCATACACTCAATTGCAAAGTCATTGTTGTGTTCTAAACATACGTAGAACATAGAAACCGAGACTGAAAGGTACAGTATTCTGGGAAATGACAGAATCACTCTCTGATACGTAATACACCGTACATCATTCAAGTAATTTGAAATACAAAGTTGAAAAGAAACATGTTCTCTGCAGTACGACAAATTTTGAACATTCCACAAGTTGTATCACAACAACTTGTGGAATTATAATTATAACTACCCATACTACCCATGTACTACAGTATTTCGGTCTCAGCTTTTATGTTCTATGTTTTGCACCCAACAATGATTTTGTGCCAACAATAATTGAGTATACTGTATGTCTTGATGCATAATAAACAAAAAGAGGTACATAACAAGTAAGTAAAACTGCAAATCAGAAAATTAGGGCTACTGTTAGGCTCAGGTCAGACGTCGAACTTCATGTGAGCCGATTCTAATTGAAACAATGGATAACAAGGCATTCTCCTTTAATGTCATTAGGTTTGGCTCATGTGAAGTTTGACGTTTGACATAAGGTAGAAACTGCAGCAGCTTTAGCTGGAGGATGCTGAAAATCTATTTATCCTCAGACAAGTGCAATAAAGGAAGCTCTTACCTCTTCAGCCTCTTGAGTTTTACAGGTTCTTGGTAAAGCAGCATGTTTACCTAAAGCACTGAAAACAAAATGGTATCCATGGTGATGAGTATTGTATAYAGTATCCATGGTGATGACAACTGTGTCAAATTAATCAACATATGGTCAGCAGGGTCCTTAGATTTCAAAAGATGGTTGCCAAGCTGATGACCAATTTTTTTGTCCTGAGTGCAGTGTTTGTTGAATGAGTAGTTCCAGAATTTTTCCATACCCCCAACGGAAGAATTTTTTTTTTTTTTTAATTTTCCTGAAGTTCACAATACAGCATGATATCAATGTTAACACATAAATTTTTAGTTTTCAAAAGACAAAGCAGGGTAACTAAATAAATACTTAACAGCAGGGCATGGCATGCCCCCAACTGGTTATTTATCATGTCAGTTTTTTTAAACTATCACTGATAGGCCTATTTAGTCATCGAGCCCGAATGGGCCATTGACTCATAGGCCCTGATGGCAAGGACTAATAATTAATTTATTGTTTTAGTCAAATCCAACTTTAGTCCGTCAAATATATAGAATACAAACAAAGGCAGTTCAAAGCCCACAATTTCCGGTACTATTAGCATATAACTTATAGCCTCGTAGTAGCTAGAAAATTTTATACTAGAGGAATAATTCATATTAATCCAATAGTCTTACTTACTTGTCCAGGTCATCACTAATCTTATCAAAAAGCTTTTTGGTGTCCTTCACCTTCTTGATATCCCTATAAAAATATCATTTAAACATATTACTGTTGTTAAGGTCTATTTTATTTTATTTTTTATGTGTAAATATACTTTTAGTTTTTCACTCTCTTTCACCGTTTCACCTCCCTAAATAGGTTTTATACACTTTCAATACAAGTAACTTGAATTCTATTGTTTTCATAATTTGATTGGTTTACTAACTCAAGTGTTCCAGTTGGAGTAGAATGCCAGTTATTGCCATATTTCACTATGACGTCACATCAAAACAATCTATTGTTTACATGCAAAGGATCATGGTYGTCKGAGGRGGTCAAATCAAYGCAAATTCRCMRAAAATTGTTCTAAAACCCKTATCAATCCACGAAGAGAAGTAGAATAGCCAGCAAACGCTCAGAATATTTTTTAGTACATATTAACACATATAATTATATCTGAAAAACAGGCCATTTTAGATTAAACTGTTTGGCTAGGAGCAAATTTTGTTGAATTTTCTATTGGATTTGGCAATCCTATCCCCCACATAAACAAGCAGCAACGTCATAGTGAAATAGGGCAATTATAAAATTTGTGGTCACAAGTTCACTCAGATTTCTCAATGTTTCAAAGCCATAATGCATCATTTTCAAGAGTGAAGAGGTCAATTGAATTGCAAGTACTTGTAACAATATCAGAGAATAAATTCAACTACGGGAAAACCTTTGAGATAAACATTTGTCAAATTAAAAAAAAGCTAAATGTGTTACTTTGCATTCAATTGATCAAAAATTAAGATCTACAGTACAATATTTATCAACTATATATATATATATATCATATTGGCAAAAAAAAGTAAAACTTTATCTTATATTGTAAATGAAGATTGTTTTGCTTTAGATGTTTGAAGAGAGTAGGAGAATTGAAGGAAGGAAAAATAATAACTTCAAATAAAAACTTACTCTTTCACAAAATGATGCAAAGTTGATGTCACAGATCGTTGGGTTTGGTCCAACAGGGTCTTTCATTTCAAAAAATGATTAACATTAATATAAGCAACTTTTATTTTATTTTTTAATGGTTACAGGTGTATACTCTATAACAGGCTCAGGAAAGCTTTGCATTAAATTATAAATCAAGGATTGGTATAGTACAGTCAACAAAATCGAGTGGTTGTGAACCTGTTTTTCGCCTCTGGGATCCCAGGTTCGATTCATGGACTCGGCATCAAAAGAGAATAGAGTCTGTAGGGTCTCTGGAGCCCCTGATTCAATAGTTTTTCTCTGAGTTCTCCAATTTTTCTCCCTGTGCAAAATCCAGGAAACTAAATTCCAATATAACCTTTTACAGTTCCCTGCACCTCGTTGAAAGGTAGCYGTGCCTTTGCATCTAATTAAGTGAAACAAATAGTCAGCATGCAATGATAGAGGCCTTTTTTAACGCCTTGGACAATTATCCATGTCTCTATCATTGCAAGCTTACTGTTTGTCTTGCTTCAATGCAAAGGCAAAGCTACCTTTCAAGATGGTGCAGTGAACTAGTGGACTATAAACCCCTTGCACTGAGTCACAAGAAGAATTGTTCTGGGGGACAAAACAATGGATTTTGTTTGCATAAGAAAAGACGGCTTATTCTTTTGTCCCCAGGAATAATTCCTCGCTTTGAACAGCTCAGAGCTTGCTGCTTCAGATTTCTAGTTTATTTGGATCAATACAAACAAAGCTGCAAAMAACAAGAACAACAACAAAAGAAAAACACTTACCAAGAAATAACTTTTCAGCTCTCCCAACACATACTGGAATTTTTGCAGAGATTGCTTAACAAGAGCATCTTCCTTAAAATACTGGACTAGGCTTTCAAGACTGCTTATCAAACCACTACAAGAAAATACCATAATACA